AGCGGGAGACAGGGCTGAAGACAAGACTTGCATCATAGTTCCAAGATCCATCCAGGAGACAGGGATGGATATGTCCATCTGGGAAGCTAGGACAAATATTAGGCTAGAGACTGATACTCCTATAATGTAGCTCAGGCAAGGACTGAAGGCCCAGGGCTGGGCTTAGGTGGAGCTCCTGAGCCCCGGACAGGGGTCGTGGATGGAAGCTCCAGGTGAGGTCAAGGCCATTAAGGCATATTAGGGCCCTGACAGGCACAGAAAGGCTGAGCTGTGCCAGACGTGAGCTGCAGTGAAGTCCATAGACTCTCTTTGGACTGAGTCCTCTGCTCTTCATCTTATCTTAAACCTCATGGAGACAAAGTCCCTACCATACTGACTGGGAGTCTGGTTGTATGAGACCCTAGTGAACAGACTACAGTGGTTTGGAGTTTGCCTCCTCTGTACTACCCGGCAGTGCTCTGCCCTCCCCTTCACTTCTCCTCCCTGCTGGGCAGCAGCTTTAGGTACTGAGCTGAGCGGAAGGAGAAGGCAATGTAGTCAAAGGAGATGACTGAGAGACAAGTCCTTTAGACCTCATGCATTGGCCTGTCTGTGAGCGATAGCGCGATGTCGTCAAGCCACGCCACCTCCTTCTGCCTCCATGTCCTCCTCTGTACCACCATGATGAGGACACTCACCACAGTAATGTTACACGGATTAACAGCTCTGTAACGGGGTGGCTCCAGGCACAAGGAACAGAATAGGAAAACACAGCCAGTGACCACATTTTCCTAGAGATTTTCCTGGAATACCCAACATGTGATGGGATCCTGGAACTCGCTTTTTTATTGCTGCCAGCAGGAGGTCAAGGAGTTACATATGTAAGAAATTCCCAAAACTGTTAAAAAGAAAAAAAGAAGATAAAAGGAAAAAAAAGGAAGAGGACTGTGGGTTGGAGACAGATCCTTTTATTCCTCGTGTCTGACTGGCCAGTCTTTTACTTTTGGGAGTCAGGATGAGATCTTTACAGGGACCAGACAAACCCCATCAGCATCCTGTTGGCCTATCTCAATCTTCTGTTGAGTTTGGCTGCTGCCCACTGTCACGAATAAGGCAGTGAACTTGGTAGGCTTAAAAGTGGCTATTCTCTATTACCTATGAAAACAAAGCTTTTGTGGCACTGCTTGCCCTGTTACACAAGTTTATTAAATATGTCCTTGAGCACATTCACAGCCCTGTGGTGACATTGCTGCATATGGCAGCTCCGTGCTTTCAGATTGCACTGCTGCAGTTAAACAAAGTGCCATTGAATTGCTCTTCTGCCACCTCCTTGTGAGGATTTATCAAAGCACCTGGGAAAGCCATTGCTGCTGTTTCTCAGCTGCTTCATTGGTCTGTACCTTGTTCGACACAGGTACCAGTGAAATTTCCAGGTGTCATAGCACAACACCTTCCTGCAGGATGACGAGGGTTTTGCTGAGATTTGCTTTGAGCCAGGTTGTCCAGCTGCTCGAAAGAAATATGTCACTGAGCCAGGGGTATAAGTTCAGATGGCCAATGCCTTGCCATACCCTGCCTTTTCCATGTGTCACCCTTTAGCCCCTGTAATCTGGCCACAAAAGCAGCAGTGTTTCTTATTTCCAGTGACTTTTATGGTGAGGAGATTATCTGTTTGCTCAACGAACAAAGGTAGGAGCCATCTGCTGAGCATTTGCCCGCGGTCAGACGTCACAGGCGGGCTTCTGAAAACACCCCCAAAGTAACAGCTCATCCGCCAGATCTGGACTTGTGTAACTGTGGCGCGATGAGCACTATTCTTAGGGACAGCATTTTGGTGGAGTCACACCTCCAGGAGGTGTGAATCTAGCCCCTGAAAAGAGCAGATGAGAATAATCCATCACCCACAGACAACGTTGCTCTCGTGTCAAGCTTCGCATCTGGAGAGCTTGAGGCTGACGGTGGGTAACCACGCTCGAGCCTATTCATGTAGGACACAGGCGCATGCAGGGGCTGCCCACAGTCAACCAGAAGTCTAGGGCAGACCTGGGAATGAGTGTAAAGCTCCCAGTTCCTGGCTTTGTGCTTGTCCTATAAAGCTGCTTTTCTTAGGTGCTTGATGTTTACAAATCTATAGGAGAACCAAAAGCTCCTGTAAGGCCTCTGAATACCTAATTGCTGCTTCAAAGACATTTCTTCTTCATCACTTTTCCCATATGGGAGTCTCCCTCACTGAAGGCAGAGCATGGGGGAAGTAAGGAGGATGACGCGTTAGAGGCATGGCTTTATAAAATGATGGCTGTTTAACACTCTGCGGTGCTGCAGGTTCCTGTAGTACCCCTCTCATCCCAGAGTCAGGTTCTGGTACAGCTCTAAAGGAGTGACAGGCTGTGATGGTGTTAAGGAACACGGAATAGTATCAAATCACAAGCAGAGGCCAACTGAGATTTCTCTGTAGTCAATCGAGAGCCCAAGCTGTCAAAGCGTGCAGCCCTGGAGTACTGCACAGAGCTTTGGCTGTTCCCTTTACGTGGGAATGCAGAGCTTTGAATTGGAAAAGCTGAAGTTTTCCCTAGTTTCTTTTTATCATTTAATATTGGAATTCCCTTAGCCGCTGAAGGCCATGAACAAGTTACTTGTCGAATGAGAAATCTTCATAGTGATTAGGGGGAATTCTTTTTTCTGGTGCTTAGTTTTAATTATAGATTCTAGAACAATGAGAAGATCCACTATGATACTCCCTTGTCCTTACCCTGAGGTCTCTAGTGTCCCTGTGTCCCAAAAGATGGTGTGTGTCAAACAATGTAACGATCCTGAAATACTGTGGAGAAAATATTGGATGTCTAGATTCCCGCAGTTAAGCATTTGGAAGCTGTTATGCCTGGGGTTTTTACCATGCCTAATGGCAATAGGAAACGAAATGAATAGCTCTGGTTCATTCAGTGGTTTTCCTGACGTAATTAATGGACAGAAATAGAAGGCAGGAATTGAAATAAACCACTCCCATTCTTTTCTTATCCCCCTCTGAGATTTTTGCAGGCCATGTCCTATAAACTTTATGTGAGTGTTTGCTGAGTAGTTTTTCCCATGTTGTGTGTGACCCTCCGAAATCTGTTGACGCACACAGGTCAGGTCCCCTTACATTTTCCTGCAGCCACTGTCTTTTTTTTTTTTTTTTTTTTTAAAGTAAGTGGCCATGATATTTTTCTTTAGATTAGTGGGCAGGGAGCATCTTTAGATCCAGGTTTTATTAAAAAGACTGCCAGACTCTGTGTCTGGTGGACACAGACTTGTCAAGCAAGCAATTTAATTCTCTGTATGTTGGGATTGATGAGGATGTTGCTGTTCCATTGCTTCTGTTTTAGCAGTGTCTGTGGAGCCTGTGTGCAGCACATATCCTATGGTGAGGAATTTTGAAATAAACTAAATTTAACGATGTGTCATGATGTTTAGATCACAGGCAGAGTTAACCACACCCAGAGATGGCTACATGGTGCCAGGAGACAAGCAATAATGTTTATATGATGATCACTGATAAACATCTTTTCTTGCTGGAGTGGAATCAATGGGAGGATTTGGCATTTCCATCTCTGCTCTTTTAGAGGCTTATTCATTGGCTTGTACAAAGGATAGAACATGAAGTTAATGCTGAAGAATGTTGCTGTGCTTTGTGTCCGGACGTAGCCAGAAATCCAGTAACTGCCTAAAATGGAATAGCTTCCCCCATACACACCTTATGGTACTGATCTTAAATAATTGGTTTAATAGTGGAAACATGAAGATCTGTGTCAGCTTAGAAGTTGAGATCCTGGCTTAATGCATGGATTGGAAGTGGCCTGTGATTCATAATTAGTAGCTCCTGTGCTCCCACCAGCTTAGCAATATCTGAATGCTATTACAATGCTACAATCGCTATTTTCACTTCCATTGAACCAGTAAACCTATTACTGAATGAAGGTGCACTGTGTAATATCTGCCTCCTTGTGCTGTCTCACCTTAGTCTCACCTTGTGTTTCCTGGGAGGGGGTTAATAGGCATCTTCTGGAGAACTTCTACGGGGGAAATTTTAGACGTGCTGGGAACAGATGGCATACATGCTTCCAGAACTAAACCTGGATGAGTGCTTGATAAATTTAATATAAAAATAAAGTCTAGCACACCTCAATACTGAAGGGACAGCCCTAGCTGGTGGGCTCAGTATGATGGATTGAGCCCATCTATTGGGTGGCAAGAATCAGACCAGACAGCTCTGCTCTTCATGGAAGAAAATACCCAGTTCTGTAATCTTGAGCTTGGGTCTTTGGTTTGAAGAAGACAGACGGGTAGCAGATACTGGTTGTGGCTGGAGGGGCCATGTGGAATTAGAAAAGGAAACTGGAAATAGGGAACAAAGCTGCAACTCACTTACTGAAATGGTCAGTTCTTGTATTAGTGGCTGTTTGCACAAGACCGCACGCACATGATCTTTGTGGAATAGAAACAAGCCACTGCTCCAAGTTGCTGAGTCGAGAGGCTGCTGAATCAGGTGAAAATAATAATAATGTCATGTTCAGCTCATGGGAGGACCTATAACTCCTGTGTGGTTGTCCAGCCAAACAGTGCTTCAAAGTCTCAGACAAATTACAGTTAATTGACTTAACATGCATTTTCTATCACTGCTTTGTAGATGCTACCAGTTGTGTCTTGGGGACAGTTTTTAATTCTATTTGTGCATCATGTAAGCAGAGACACTAATAAAGGGAAGATATGTCTCTGTTTGTGAGCGACTACATGTACCTGCATCAACCTGCAGTTGTACTGGGATAAACTGGGCATCATGTTTTCACCAATTCCGAGAGGAATTCTGTCTGTTTATCCAGGCTTAGCATGACTATGTCGGGGAAAAGGAAATGTTGTTGAGCTGGTGTTGGAAACAATGCTATTGCTAAATATAAGCAAGTAAAAACACCGTTGAAATGGGTTGTGCTGTAATTTTGTTTCCTGTTTCACCAATCCTATTTTTTTCCCTTTTTTCCCCCCTACAGAACAATTCAATTAAAACATCGAAATACAACTTCTTCACTTTCCTGCCTCTCAACCTGTTTGAACAGTTCCAGCGAATAGCCAATGCTTACTTTCTTTTCTTGCTGATTTTGCAGGTATGAATGCACTGTGCTGGTTCTAGCAGATTGTGTTGTCTGTTATCAAAGCCACTCTATGTACTAATAGTTGTAATAAAGTGCAAGCTATAGTGTCTTAGTAAAGTCTTAAAGTAGATAGAAGGTATGGGAAAAAAAAAAAAAGCAGCAATTTCCTCTCTTACCTTTGGATATGAGGGTTTGAACTAAATGAAGAAAGAATGTAATAAAGTCTTCAACAAATTGTGTACATTTTTCATGCCATGTCCTACTACCCCTTTGTATCTACATCTGAGTGCTACGGGCTGTCATTGGATTTGCGTTACTTATTTCCCCTGTAGTACAAAAGGAAGTTGTCTCTTATCCATAGATTTAAAGGCGAATGCCATTGGCAGCCTCAAAGGAAACAGCAAGAAGAAGAACAAATTTGTAACCTGTACTGTTTCCCTGGGAAGGAAGGAATTAACATCAGGAAGGCTCAAGCTTGGAGCTAGTTTGCATAAAGCTGAATATTGGTGCTCCCTGCTCAACAGGGTGAGGAAGGTGTCTAAGATGGAGCTTGTCAGAGACTGGCAATGCTATTGAACCCCGTGGCTCCTAATGGCATTGAGTTGCACTTTGCCCATTGCTGTTGTCAATGTTACTCTGTCTGAACGCTGAATGCGCCAGAGGAATTGCTATCAGGATTTCTGCCCCTTTGCACTTCGCTAGAATATGGATAAACGCAGTGTACTCTGTTGCTGTTGAGTCATACTGGAATACACGTTACCAATAAAAGGGTATAATTTTGATTATGTTTCAAGTATGCTATTTTAAATTTGACCGTTTCAGTGCACACAAGTTTGCAAAATTACCTTTTCAAATGCTGTTTTTCAATTTCAGCTCAAAAAAGCATAGGCAAAATTTTGTTAAGCCTGTGGCAAACTACATATAATCTTCTTTGCTTATTTACAGGGAACAAATTTGAGAAATTTCAGCCCACATATACTTTTCAAGAAACTAGTGAAAGTGCCTTTTTAGCTAAGCTGACAGCACCGTTCCTGTGTTGTTGTACTGCACTCTAGCTGTTTGTCTATCAAATTCATACTATTTCAAACTATTTGCCTTAAATTATACCGCTGTGTTTTTTGCTGAGCCATCTACGAGTGACTGTATAAAAGCATACAGCTTTTTCTGATGCCTACATCAAGGTAGGCTAAAGAGGGCAGCTACAAGGCTTGCACATTTATGTATCCCCCTCCGCTTAATTTTACCCCTCTTCTGCCCGCTCACTCCATCCCGGCAGCACTGGGAGTATCTCTTCCAGCATCAGTAGTGGATGTGATGGATAGGTGGTGGGGACTCTGCCTCCCCACTCCTTTAGCACTGCCCAGTAGGACACGTATATTCCCAGTTAGGTGATCAGGTAGCAGCCTGTGTCTCTGCAGCCTCCACAGCTGAGCGAGGCTGTGCTTGCCTCTAAACATTATTCCTCCTGGCTGGATTTGGTGGTGCCTGTAGGATCGGGGTTGTGATGGTGTAGCAGAAGGAGCAATACCAAAGAGCAGCTCTCCACCCTTTAGCAGCTGCTTTAGTGGCATAAATGTCAACTTCACAGTGCACATGGAGTTGACACTGCCCAAATCCAATCTGATGGACACAGTGATGCTGGTATCACATTGCTTCCATCATTAGTGCTGTTCTTCTTGAGGAAGGGAGGAACTATGCTGGGGTAAGACGTCCATCTCTGCATCACTGAAGGCATGACACGGTCACCTTCAACTCTTGGGTCCTCTCACTATTAAAGATGTGGTAAACAAAAATGGCTCTGTTGATCTTGGAAGAGCAAGGTCAGCCCTGGCAACAGCTGTGTGTTTTTTATTGATATGAGCTTTACTTCAGCAAAATGTGAAGAGTTACTGAAACAAAAAATAGAAGGATTGGAAGGCTCTGCACAGCAGGCCTTGTTCAGATGGCTCTGGATCCCTCAGAGCAGGCTTGGCCATGTCAGTGCCTCCATATAAATCCACTGGGGACTTTGCAATCCTAATGTTACAAACAACAAGAAAGAGCAACCCACTGCACTTCCTGACAGCTCCATGTTTATAATCTAAATTAAAGCTTGGTTTGTAAGCAAAGCATGGCTTCCCCGGACCTCCCACTGTTGTGGGGTCACATATAAGTGATGGAGCTGCATTTCTGTCTTTATTGTGTATTGAGGTATCATAGAAAAATATTATCTACAGCTTGCACAGAAAACAGTGTGCTTTGTTTCCGTCTCTGATGAACTGGCAGGAAATTTCTCAACTCAGATCTTTTCTTCCTACAGTTGATTCCTCAGATTTCCTCGCTGGCCTGGTTTACAACGGTGGTGCCCCTAGTGCTGGTGTTGGCTGTATCGGGAGTCAAGGATGCCATTGATGATTTTGTAAGATCTGTGTTGCTGACCTGTACTTTGCAGTTTGCCTCTGGTTCTTCAGCACAATCACTGAAGCAAACTGCTTAAAATAAACAAGGCCAGTGGCAGGCAGTTGGAGAACTGGTCTGTCATCAAGATGGGGTCTGAGATTAGATCCCCAAATCTATCATTCATTACCTAAAAAGGAGCTAGCATTTCCTAATTGCTGAGCAGCTCAGCCACTCCATCGACTTCCTCTGAAAACTGCTCAGCTTGTCTGAAAATGTTGTCACTGATAGATATGTCTGGATGCATGCGCAGAGTTCTGTTCGTAGGCTTCCACTTCGGAGAACTCATCTTCTGCCATCTGGCTGCAACGTAAGGGGAAAAAAGGAACTAAGCATACAACCTGTGTGGGATTTTTCAAACTTGCCCAACTTTGTCTGAAGTCTGCTCCCACCAGAGCTAACGGTCAAAGTTCCATTTATTTCATGCGGCGACCTTAGAGCTGAGTTTAGCACCTTATTTTCTCTCATTATTAAAATAACTTTGGTGCTCTATGGAGACACGGTGCAGCTTTGCAAGTGGGCAGGTGAGAGGTGGCGAGGTGCTCTCCCAGGGAGCAATGCCAACCTGGTGTGGCGGGAGGTGTCCCTGCCCATGGCAGGGAGGTTGGACCCATATGATCTTTAAGGTCGCTTCCAACCCAAGCCGTTCTATGATTCTATGATGATCTGTGGCCACTTTCCATATCAGAGAAGAGGAATGAATTTCGCTGGTGTTTATGAAACTGTGATGGGCAGGACCAACACCAGCGGAGTCAAGACTGTGCTAAGTGACATATAAGGCTCTACCCTCTTTCTTCCCTCCAAGAGCGAGCCCCGTGTTGCCTGTTGCTCTTTGCAGTCCTCGTACGCCCTGTGTTACTAGTGTAAAAGTGGGCTTGAATATGACTCAGCTGTGACTCTAATCTGCCTGACCCATTCAGCCAGCTGGGTGAAAACCTGAAACGTTAATGAACTGCCTACAGCTCTCTTGTGTGCTTGGTTTCCTGGAAATGCCTCTTAATGTACTGATCAAATTTTCAGAATCGACACAAAAGCGACAAACACGTCAACAACCGCCCAGTCCAGGTCCTGATCAATGGCATGTAAGTCCTTTTTCTTTTGCTGTAGTTTTGACTGGGGAGAACATTTTATTATTATTTTTTTTTTCTGTGTGCTTCCAAAGCGTCACTAAACAATTTAAAATCTAATTGTCTTTCACACCATTAGTTTGCTGTTCATTTCTGGACTATGTGTCTGATTAATGAACCCAAGACACAGTACCACAATCAGTGCAGACATTATGGCTGTGATCCTGCACTGACAAAAAGTAAATTTTTTCTGTTCCTGGATGTATATGTTTAAATAAATGATACTTTGAGAGTATTGTATTATGTTACTCCTCATCCTAGAAATGACAAGCAAGGCTATCTTCCTATGTCCATTTATGTTCATAGCATTTATTTCTGCATTAAGCAAAACTAGGCATTATCAACAAGTTATTTTAAATTAAGAAGTAGGAAGAGCTTCCCTATACGTGTCATAATACTTTGAGTGTGTGTAGCACTTCTGACTGATATACTCAAAACATTTCAGCTGTGTGCTTTGCACATTGTACTTTTAGCACTGTTCTTTCCTGCAGAAAAAACGGCAGAGGCTTTGGCTTTTGTGGCAGACAGATGTGCTGTTTAGTTGCAGCTCCATGGAATCCAGCTGTGTGTAGGACACAGTTGTAGGCAGCTGTGAAGTCTCTTGTGACTTTCTTTTCTGTACTATAGATAGCAGTTTGTTGTTGTCATCCAACAGATGATCAAACAGTTAAAAATATAACTGGAAACTGAAGAACAAGAACATACTTTTTCTGCTTTCTGCTAAGTAAACCAGTTTCTTACTTTACTGTGTATTAGTTACAGTGTCTAGGAAACATATATTGAAAGAGAAATTTTCTAATATTTTGCCTTTGTTCAAAAACTGGGAACCGTGGGGCCTGCCCAACTCCAACCAACATTCAAAAAGCAAGGCTGAGCTGAAGTCAGGCTCAAATACCCAGTCCTGTTTTGATTTAGCTCTTGGTATTTCTGACCTGTAGACTTTGCATGCACAGCTATCATGACTTGTTGACGTTGGTGCCTGTGCTTTAGCTGTCTGTTTGCATGCACGTCTTGCTTAGCGCTGTGAAGGCCACTGCAGACGCAGGTGTATTGTGGTGGTCCCTTAGCTTAGTATGGATCAGGCCACGTCATGGCACATCCATCTTGCCGACAACCTAAGTCCTGATGGCACCTACAGTCTGGCTTCAGGAGCAGAGGGGAACATCCTACTTTCCCAAGTGGTGTTTGCTTTATGTGCCTACTTACTAGGAGCTTTCTTGCAGGTTAAAGGATGAAAAATGGATGAATGTCCAAGTGGGGGATATAATAAAACTAGAAAACAACAACTTTGTGACGGTGAGTATAGTTTCTCTCCATCCTGCTCACAGTTAGTCTCTAATTACTCTTATCACTCACACGCAAATTAGTCAGTAGTGATGATGACTGCCTCAGAAACCTGCAGTGTGCAGAAGCCACAAGCAGCATTGCAGTGCCATGCCCTCTGACCGACTGAACTCATGCCAAATCTGTCTGTCTGTGTTCAGGCCGATCTACTGCTACTGTCGAGCAGCGAGCCGCACAGCCTGACGTACATCGAGACAGCTGAACTGGACGGGTAGGTGAGCCCAGCCCTCGGCTGTGATCATGGCTGCCAGATTGTCTCTGGTGACCCTGGGTGCTGCAAGCTTACCTGCAATAGCTTTGGTACCTAGAGTTTCCTAATACGTAGAATAAACTTTGGGTAGGTGTCTTGAAAATAACATCTCCTGGTGGATACTTTTGCCAAACGTCACGTTAGCAGGGGACTTTACTTTTTATTTTTAGTGACAGTTCTTCTAATGCTGAGAGTTAGTTACAAAGGTGTTCCTGCGATATCACAGGTCACTGGCAGAAGCTTTCTGTTTCTTGTATCTCCCTTAGTCTTTTCTCTTAGCTAGATTATCTGGGTGAGATAATGACAATGAATAGCTCTAGTAATCTCCTTTGGACTGCTATACCATAATATTAATGCATGCATACTGCAAAGGCTTCCAAACGTTGCTCACTTCAGGGCACAACTGGCCACAAGTCAGAGGGCTGCAACTAATTTGTAGTAATTGGAATAAACTGGAGCTGACGTCATCTTTACAACCCAATTTGCATTACCTTTTCTGCATTGCCTGGAGCTAGCATCTGCTTGAAGGACTAAGCAACACCAAACAGATCAAAAATTGTGTCTCCCAGGACCCTACAGACAGCCCTCTGGACTCCCCCTGTCTTATTTCTGCTGAAAATAAGCTTGTAGTTCTTGTACACACAAGTGCCAGGGAACCATTTTAGGAAGCCCTGAACAAATGTAGTGTTTCTTCAATGTTGCATTTCATACTCCCCAGCTAGCTTGTCCCAGGACTGGAGTGCTCTTCAGGACTGGAATACCATGGGAGAAGATCCAGAGCTCTCCTATATGCTCAGACACCTCAGGGTTCAGTGTGGTCAGGGTGTCAGGACAGACAGTGAGATGCTCAGGGAGATGAGACGCCTGATCTTGCACTTTGTGGTCAAAATGAGAAGTCAAAGCCACCTCACCCTCTTTGGTACCATGGTACCATCTCCAGAATTATTTGGGACTACCTGTCTTTGCAGCTGAAAGAGGCAACTGCACCCTTTGGCCATGTAAAAAAGGCATATGATGGCCTGGTCCATCAGATGTCTAAGGAAGAAGACTGTCCTCAAGAACAGAAGTGACTTTCGGGGAGAGCTTTCAGTTCACGTATGACTTTCAGTTCATGTTTTTGTCTCATGTTATTTGTCACAGTGAAACAAACCTGAAGGTGAAGCAGGCACTGACAGTCACTGCAGAGCTTGGGGAAGATCTTCAGAAACTGACAGAGTTCAATGGTGAGTCTACATGGAAAATTCACTTCCCAGAGGTTTTGCCCAAACACCAGAGCCCAGAGAGTGCCTGGGAGTCTTCCCTCTAGGCTGTCTGCTGCTCCCTCATAGGACCCCTCTGGATGCAGCGGCAGGAAAACAGAGTGGGCACATCACAGTCTGCCCAATGGATATCAACAGTATACGTAGAGAAAGAGGTGCCCCTTTGCTCGCAGGTCTCTCTGTGCTGTGCCTGGCTATAACCTGAAACTGCATCGGTGGGAATTCTCCTTCTGGCTGCACACTTTCCTTTATCATCAGTCTGTGCACATTGAGACTACCCACCTCAAACCTCGACACAAGAGTTCGTGTAATTGCATAGTGGAAACTGTGTCCCCCAAACCGCATGCTTAGTTCTGATCTCAAATTATTTTCACAATGCACTTTTACATTGATACAGAAATGCTGATGTGTCAATTACAGTTAGCTTCTGAGCAGCAGTACTTTCCAGACACTGTGCTGACCTGAGGACTGACTCTGTGCATGCAGCACAGGTAGCTTCTTCCCAGCCCGAAGGCTCCCCCTGCCAGTACTTCTCTCCTCTCTCAATGCCACAATGAAGGCTGCATTTTAAGATATTTAAAAAGCAGTATGGATGTAATTTAGGGGCAACATGTCCTTCCTTAGCACTGTTTTGTATATCAAATTTAGAATGGAATGGAGTGGAATGGAGTGGAGTGGAATGGAATGGAATGGAATGGAATGGAATCGAATCGAATCGAATCGAATCGAATAAAACAGACTATTTTATTTGGAAGGGACCTACAATGACCATCACGTCCAACTGCCGGACTACTTCAGGGCTGACCAAAAGTTAAAGCAACTACAGCATTGTCCAAATGCCTCTGAAACGCTGACAGGTTTGGGGCATTGACCACCTCTTTAGGAAGCCTGTTCCGGTGTGTGACCACCCTCTTGGTGAAAAAATGCTTCCTAATGTCCAGTCCAAACCTCCCTGATGCAGCTTTGAACCATTCCCACATGTCCTGTCACTGGGTAGCAGGGAATATATAGCAGCACATACACAGAAAGGAGCCAGACCTGTCAAAACCAGAATACTCCATGCTCACACATCATCTGTCTTCGGGGAGAGGATGGGGGAACAGACCAAGTGGTGTTACTCACGCTCCGTGGTGTCCTGCTGGCTTAGGTATGAGGGCAGGATTACGGGAAGAGTCTGTATGGAAAGGGGTGGGGTGAGTGCTGCTGTCCTTGGAACATCTCAAGGACTGCAGGCTCTCAGGAAATATTTTTAGATAAAGAGGAAAAATAATTAAAAAAAAAAAAATCTCTTCGAAAGAACTGGATGATTCCAGGACAAAAGGTGGGGACGTGGCAGAGAGTTAGCGTAGCTACCAGTAGGTCCCTGGTAGAGCAATCCAACGTCATGGGCTTTTCCTTTGCTTTCTACATTGAGGTTTTATGCAATAATGTGTGTGGTCTCAGCTGAGTGTCATATGAGTACATCAGGACTCCTCAGAAGTGATGGCTGAGGTTCTGAGTGTTTTAGGTTTTGAGGAATATGTTTTTACAGGTGCAGTCGGACGCTTTATGTTAATAGTCGGAGTGGCATGCCTTAACTATTTTCCTGAAGAGGCTGCACTGTATATCAACTTGTAAGCAAAATGTTAATCTCAAATAATTTTTCAAGCATTTTCTGTGTAAAGCTTATCTAAGGATACTGCATTCTTGAAAGTGCGCAATTGAATAAATGTTTCCAAATATTTTGGAAAATTAAAACTATTTTTATCAAATATTTATTTGTTCTTCAAATCTCTATTATAGTTATACTGTAAATAAAAGTGGCCTCTTCATAATACTTAACATGAATAAAATGTTTCCCAGGATGATTTATATTTGGCAGAGTACTGGGAAGAGTGCCTGGAATCAGACCCAACCTTGCATTTCCCTTAGCAAACTTCTGTAGAAGTATTTAAATATTTATGTAACTCTTTATCTAGTTAATTCTTAAGACAGGAAGAGAGGAAAGGGTTGAGCAGCTAATACAGGCACTCAGTGGAATGCTTAATGTGAGTTATTATGTTTGTTGACATCGCAATGGTACAGATAAGGAAGATGCTTGCAAAACACTGACCTTCTTCATTTGATTTGGGGAGCTGGGAGATGAGAAAGGAAACAATACTGTTCAGTTACCTACTACTTATCACATGTAGACTTGGTAGTATTTAACTCTTTTCAGGTGAAATGCATTCCAGATGTCTTTTTGCTCTTAGTGGGAGGGGGATACAGGAGGCACGGTGCCTTGCTGGGGTATCTTCAGCTGCACGGTTAGTGCGGTCAGTGCAGGTATATTGAGTGAATCTCTAGAGCGTCTCATTTTTTTGTGATCGGTCCAATTTGGATGAATCTCTTCTGATCTCAAAATCAGCATATCAGTAACCCAGACCAACCCACTTACTGGAAAGAAGGTGCGGATGTTGACATGACACAGATATTGTCCCACAGCGGGCATGAGGAGAGGCACAGTCTTCCTGGTGGGGGACCATGCCCTGGGTTTCGTTCACCAAAATCTCATTGTGCCGTGTGTCAGGTTGCACTGCAAAGCCTCTGGATTCTTTGTGCTTTTCAAGGGGCTGCGAAGGCTGTAGCGAGACAGGTCTGGTTACTGTAGACTTTTAGAAATGATGATGGAGTACAGGACTGATTGTTCTTGGGTTAACTCGATGATAAAATAGTTGTTAGTATGAGCTCTGACGTCACATGTGTCACAGAATTTCCTAAGCACTTCATCCTTCAAGATGGATGATTTGGCTGCCCTAAAGTAGAGCTGCTTTTCTACGAAAAGAACACCCATTCTTGATTTTAAAATTTGCAGTGGTGGGGAATGCCACAATACTTAAAAGTTGTACTTTTTTTTCTGGACTTCTCTAGATTTTGCTTCCAGTCTCTTGAGCCTGGTGTGTTTTGTCTGAGAACAGCTGGAAGAGCTGCATTCTCTGCAAATGCTAGTTCTTATGTAGATATTTGCAGCCTGTGACCAAAATAACTTTAATGTTCCCGCTGATTAACTGAACAGACTGAACTCTTGGAATCCCTTTCAATAAGGCATATTCGTATTTTCCAGTTGTTTTCAACACATCCACAGGGCTCTGCTGTGAATCTTCAGATCTCAGGTGCAAATGTTGATTTGTTTTTTATTCATTTAGTCAGTTATTTATAGTCATTTTTATACCAAAGTATCTGAGTTTACAGTTTTGTGTGAACGCATTTTATTACAAGAAATAAATATAAGGCAAGGAAACAGAAACAGGCTCTCCAATCATTTACACTTTCAACTGCAAAGGTAGCTGTACCCTTTTTTATGTGCCTCTGGGAGTTAAGGGATAAAACAGATTAAATTTAAAAAAACAGTGAACAAAGACACCTCACTTAATTACTCTATTGCAGGCTTCAGGCTATGATTTTTCTCGCTTGGTGTCCTGCAGTTTTAAAGAAAATGGAATAGGAATTATGTGAGGTCAGCACTTTTATCTAAAGTTATCCAGTGACGTCCTACCACTATGAACTTGCTGTGAAAGGACTGAAAGTATGTTGCTGGTTCAACATTTCTTCTCACCTGCACAGAAGCTGTGGAAACTGTTTTGAACTCTACCAGTACAAAATTGCCACGTTCAAAGAACAGCATAAGCGCAAATTTATTGTGGTCCAATGGATTATAACATGAATATGGGGAAGGAGCAATATCCCAAAACATCAGTAAATATAGGAAACAAGATGGGAATGCAGGGTGAGGAGTGGACTGCAGCTATAGTGCTACATATTTCCTATCTGGAGACCAGCTGAGAATGCAGTATTGACACATATTTCTGGGCCAAGAAGATTTCCATCATCTTTTTTTCTTTTTACTTTCCTTTTACAGGTGAAGTTAAATGTGAGGCACCAAATAACAAACTGGATAAGTTCACGGGAACTCTTACTCTTCGAGGAGAGAAGTATGCCCTGGACAATGAGAAGATGTTGCTGAGGGGCTGTACGATTAGGAACACAGAGTGGTGCTTTGGCCTTGTTATTTATGCTGGTAGGTAGAAAAAAATGACGTGAATTGCAAAGCACAGCAGCACTAATGTGGAAGTACATCACACCCATTATGCACAAAGGAACCAAGAATTTTCTTCTTTGGAAAATACAATTCTACTAGGTATAAGAACAAAAGCGAAACAATACATGAGATCCCTTGTCTTAACTCTAGGCTAGAAATTATGCATATTACAAGGGATTTTAATCTAAGAATTTTTTTATAGTGAAAGAGAAAACTGGATTGCAAATGCTACATTACAACATCCAATTCCATCTTGATTAAGTGCTTCAGTAAGCAGAAGTAGTCTTTTATTTCAGGAATGCATGCAGCAAAGTACATGAGAGAAGCCTTGGTCAATCAATAAGAAAGACTATAAGAATTAAGTCTGCTTAAGAATTAAAGCTGAATTAAATCTGCCTTTACAGGCCCACACTGCCCCAGTTGGAGTCTTTCTCTCACCAGGCTTGTTCAAATTTTTTCACTCTTTAGTGTATTCGATTAAAAATTCCATCATTTTAATGTTATTTTAATCCATATTGGAATATCAAGGTCATCAATAATATTATTGTAGACCATTAAATCTATGTTTTTTATGAGCATAGACCTGCTATTGTTTCTACACTGCTGTAGACATGTGAGATGATGTATAACTTGTCACTAATAACAGAGCAGTATCAGGTATTCTGTGAAAAGTAATTAAACCTGAAAGGGAGGATTGACTGTTCAAAGAAGAGAGCAGGATGAAAATCTAGAATTAATGACTTTATGTGACTCTCTCCATATAATCTAAGGCAAGTGACTTAACCTTTTTCTGCCTAATTTTCCCCCCAGCACTGCAAACTGTATGTACCTGCCTTCAAGAAAGCTGTGATGGGTATTTATGCTGTAAAGCACAGTGGGGCCTCAGAGGGAATCAGATTTAGAACTGCTAAGCTTTATTACTAAAATTCATGAGTGTGTTTCATCTCCAGGGCCAGACACCAAATTAATGCAGAACAGTGGAAAAACAACTTTTAAACGGACGAGCATTGATCGGCTCATGAATGTCCTTGTGTTGGTGGTAAGTCTGATTAATGTATCTTCATTTCTTCAGATGTATTCATCATTTCCAGATGCTCCACCTCTTTGTCCACACAAATGAGGAAATAGCAGAAGTGACTAATGATAAAAAGAAAAATTATATAATAATTTATTAGTAGCCTGAGTTCTGCAGCGCCTCTGCCAGCCTATTTGCAAAGCAAGGCCATTACATTGACAGTGTTAAGGACCTTTCTTCTGAGCTTTTCATTTGCTCTGCTCTCCCTCGCTCTGCTTTTTTTTTTTTTTTTTTTGAGAATCACTTTGAAGCCCGCAAATGCGTTTTTTTTTTCCTTAGCAATTTTGTCATTTTTTATTTAAATAAACATTACCAGTTCTTCCTCTTCTTTCTAATTTATCGTCATCTTTGGTGACATCTGCATAGGACTTAGTAATTGAGTTTGTTAATTTACATGATGACAGCTTCTGACTTAACACATTAGGGTAAAATGTTAGATATGGTCTCATTAATACTCAGAAACTGGTGTTTTTAGCAGCTGGGAAATTTGAGAACACTAATCTTATATAGCAGACAATCTCCTCAAATTAGAAAACAGATCTGATTTGAGGTTTAAGCTTGTCAGTGGTTTTAACAAATGGCAAACACTTCCAGGCAGAGGTAGTGATTCTTTTATGAAGAGTCTCCCAAGATTTTACCACTTGAGTTCAAAGCTGCTCAGGGAAGGAAGACATGCACTTTAGCACCGCTTTACTTGATGTTGCTTGAAGAGAAGATCTTTAGTTTTAGGCTTTTTTGCAAGTTTTTCATGCTCTTTCATGCATGCTGCACCACCTTCTGTTTATGACTCTGGGAAGGTCTGGTGGCCACTGTTCCCTCTTCTTCCCTCCTGCCCTTGCTCTCCAGCCCAGCCTGACAGCGTGGATCCATTCCCAGGTGCTGGAGCAAGCCCTGGGAAAGGCAGAGCGCGAGGTGTCCGACAGCAGCCTGCCCATCACAGCCAGGCTGCCCTGAGCGCTCGCTGCCCTGCGTGACTTCATGCCTCCTCAGCACTGGGGCTTAATGCACAAACATCTCCAACGCTGACCCGCTCTCCAACCTCGCCACTTCACCACAGCCCCTGTCCTCCTGCTTTTTTTCTCAGGATCCCGACAGCTTTAGGTGAGCCCATGGATGAGAGTTGTTACAGAGCAGGTTGTGCCTCTGTGAGACTGAAATAGTACCCATGCAGCAGCAGCGGCTCTCCCAACTCCCAGAGCTGTGAAGCAGTGTCCTGAATATTCTGTGTGTGCGCATTTGCTGTAAAGCAGGGCCACAGCGCAGAGAGGCACTCCAGAGTCATCTTCAAGCCCTCTTGAGTCCTTGCTTCATGTACAGTAAGAACACACCCTTGACTGTAGAAGTATTACACCAGTCTCTGCCAAGTGAAAATCTTGATTACCGTCATCAGCTTGTTTTCCTCAGTGTTTTCTTCCATTGCGCTTAAGGGGACAGCAAAATCTAGCAAAGTTTGGGCCTCTTACATTCAAAATTTTGCAAGCATTTGAGAAAATTCACATTTTCTTAGGTGTTCTGCTATGCTTTAGCTGGAAAGGAGGATGGGCTGTGGGGTAGGGCTGTAGGGGATCCACAGGGCAGAGAAACGGAGCAGAAAAAAGCTGAATAGGGAACTCGGAATTTAGCATTCAATTAAGGTTTGCCAAATCTCCTTTCGCAAGTCAAGGGTCCCACCCAGAGCTTTCAGTTTGTTTGGCCTCTCTTCATGGCTGCGAACAAGATGAATTTACCTCCTGGCTCCGTTTTAAAAAACCGAGCAAGTTGCAGCTGATTGCATCAGCCTCTGCCTGGGTTCCCGGGTGCTGATGGAGCCAAGGGTGTGTTTTTTCTCCTTCACACATTTTTAAGGTACCTAACATTTTGGTGTCTAACTAAAGCTCTGCCCTACCCTAAGCACCAGGCTCTTTGCACACACAAGGGATGTGGCATCAGGTCCTTCCAGCTCAGTGGGTGGCCGAAGGTGACATAGCGTGGTCGTAAAATAAGCCAGTATATTGCGCTCTTGAGTTTGGAAATACAAAGCAGCCAGAGCTTGCTATAAATAGCTCATTTTAAGTGTATTGAAACTTGTTCCATGTTAACACTGGCAAAGCTATTTTGTGTTTAATTGTCCATAAAACTTCCAGGCAGAAAGCAGTGTTTAAGCAGGGCTTGCCAATGTCCTGGTTAAATGTCGCCCTGGTCTGTCCCAACAAGGGTTAATCAGGAGTGAACCTTTCCAGATGGCAACCATAGCTGTTTTTTCACATTTGGAAGTGTTTCTCAGGGATCTGAGAGAGCAGTGAATGTTCCTCCACCGGGGATGCACCTGCCAGCTCCAGCAATGCTTTTTCCTCCAAAACTTGCTTTTTAGCAGGTTTGGGGAAGCACGTTTTCAGAGAAATAGGGCTGTCACCTTCATCTCTTATGCAACTCATTGCTTCAAATCCTGGAGCAGAACTCAAAAGTGCCAATAAAGAAACTGAGACAGTTTGAATTCACAGTCTGACAGGAAACGTTTGTCAAAAGTCGCCTGTTCTTTACAAAAGTCCTACTCAGTCCTGCAGAGGATCTGTTGCAGGCAAGGCATGGGCAGCACCCAGGGAGGGAGGATGTTTACGGTGGGAAGCCCCATGAGCATGCACAAGCCTACAGTTGGGGTTTTTTCATGTCCTCTTGCGGAGCTGTGGTTATGATTACAACAACCTTTACACAGTTGTTCCTCCAGACAGAAATTAATCTCTGGGGCCACTGTTAACGGCTTGTTCTTTTCACAGAATCACAGAATTTTCAGAGTTGGAAGGGACCTCTAGAGATCATCTAGTCCAACTCCCCTGCTAAAGCAGGATTGCCTGGAGCACATTACTCAGGACTGCATCCAGGCGGGTCTTGAAAATCTCCAGAGAAGGGGACTCCACAACCCCCCT